GATAGTAGGAAAAACTTTTTCACCAGGAGGGTGGTGAAGCACTGGAATGGGTTACCTAGGGAGGTGGTGGAATCTCTTTCCTTGGAGGTTTTTAAGGTCAGGCTTGACAAAGCCCTGGCTGGGATGATTTAGTTGGGAATTGGTCCTGCTTTGAGGAGGGGGTTGGACTAGATGACCTCCTGAGGTCCCTTCCAACCCTGATATTCTATGATTCTATGATAGAATAAACTGCTGGCTTAAGTCAAGTCTCTGGTTGCTTCCAAATCATTGGAAGGCCTCAGTCCCTTGGTTAAAATGCTCCCATTAGTACAAGTTCATAGTTCAGAGGTTTGAGCAGGAAAGAGGCAAAATGGAGATGTTTCCAGAGCCTTTTATAGCTTCTGCCAAGTGAAGGGAAACCCATTGTTCTAGTTTGTGAAAAATTACAGGTAACAAGATGGAGTTTGGAATCACATAAGCAAGTCACATGTCCATGCATGCTTCGCTTAATCATAGCAGAGGCCAGTAACCATACTCTAGTTAGAATGTCCTCAGGAAAGTCCATTAAGTGTAGATAGGTGTCTTCCATGGTCCATTGTAAGTGAAGTGTTCTTTGATGGGCCATTCAACTTGAATAGTTCCTTCACAATGTTCTGACTAAATACCTTGTTGGTGTTACCACAAGAGCAAACACTTGAAATACAGGTACATAGTTAATATTCATAACTTCAAATACAAAAATGATACATGCATACAAATAGGATAATCACATTGAACAAATCATAAATTTTTGACACCTTCCTTGACATACTTTGTACAAGATCTGTTGTAATTATATAACAGTGGCAGCAACAATGATCTACCTGGTCATGTTTTAATCATATAACGTCTCACCCTGTCCTCCAGGAGTTCTCAGAGTTAATAGCTAATGGTCATAATAATTGCTAAGATTGCTTCAGTTGGTTCCTTAAGTTACCCTAGGATGAATTTCACCAACCCCTGCTAACTTGAATACATCTAACTTATCTAAATATTCTTTAACCTGTTATTTCCCTATTTTGGCTTGCATTCCTTCCCCTGTGTTGTTAATATTAATTGTGTTGAGTATCTGGTTATCATTAACTTTTTTAGTGAAGACTGAAGCAAAATAGGCATTAAACACTTCAGCTTTCTTGATGTCATCAGTTATTACCTCTCCTTCCCCACTAAATAGAGGACCTACACTCTCCTTCATCTTTCTCTTGCTCCTAATGTGTTTTCAGAACCTTTTCTGATTGCCTTTTATGTCCCTTGCTAACTCTAACTCATTTTGTGCCATAATCTTTCTGATTTTGCTCCTACATGCTTGTGCTATTCTTTTGTACTTCTCCTTAGCAATTTGTCCATGTTTCCACTTTTTGTAGGATTCCTTTAAAGAGCTCCTGGTGGAGCCATATTGGTCTCTTACAATTCTTCCTATCTTTCTCTCACATCAGGATGGTTTGCAGTTGTGCCTTTAATATTGTCTCCCTGAGAAACTGCCAGCTCTCCTGAACTCCTTTTTCCCATAGAGTTTCTTCCCAAAGGACCTTGCCTACCAGTTCTTAAAGTTTGTTAAAGTCTGCTTTTTTGAAGTCCATTGCCCTTATTCTGTTACTCTGACTCATTAGAATCATGAAATCTATCATTTCATGATCACTTCCCCCAAATTGCTTTCCATCGTCAGATTTGCTACCAATTACTCCCTGTTGGTCAGAATCAAGGGTAAAATGTCTGTCACCCTAGTTATTTCCTCCACTTTCTGGAACAAAAAGTTGTCCTCAGTACATTCCATGAACTTACTGGAAATTGTGTTTTGCCATATTACTTTCTGGCAACAGGATCAAGCCAAACGATATCGTGGATCAAGAAGTGAATCAATTGGAAGAGTGATGCACGGAAGCCTGAACAGCACTGGTCCACACTAAGCCTTGCTTTAGCAAGTGCTATTAATCTCACTTGCATTAACAGCAAATTCAAAGTAATGTTTAAAAACATTGTAAAAAAGGCTTATAATGTATTGTTTGCTAAAAGCTCCAATGGTGCTATACTGGTACTGTTATTTGTGTGGGGACTGGAGTGTTTAGAGGATTGGTAAGGAATATTAAACCATTTGGCCCATTTCAGTCTGTTGCTAGTATTTGAAGCCAATAATGGGTTTTTTGTTGCCTACATAGAATCAGTTGGTAGTCGCTGTCCACAAAGAGATCCCCACGAGTGACATAACTTTTAATTAAAACTGTACTTAATTAAGAAATTCAGACTTGCCGTCTGTTAACTATGATGTCATCTATAGGATTTATGCTGACAATCTCAGCAGAGAACATAAAAACAGCCATACTGGGTCAGACCAATGGTCCATCTAGTCCAGTATCCTGTCTTCCAACAGTGGCCAATGCTAGATGCTTCAGAGGGAATTAACAGAACAGAACAGCAATTATTGAGTGATAATCCCAGCTTCTGTTGTTAACTCCTAGTTTCTGGCATTTAAAGGCTTAAGACACCCACAGCTTGAGGTTGCATCTCTGACCATCTTGACTAATAACCATTGATGGACCTATCCTCCATGAACTTATCTAATTCTTTTTTGAAGGGATAAATAACACTTCCTTATTCGCTTTCTCCACACCATTCATTATTTTATAGACTTCTATCATATCCCCCTTTAGTCATCTCTTTTGCAAGCTGAATAGTCTGTCTTTTTAATCTTTCCTCATATGGAAGTTGTTCCATATGCCTAATCACTTTTGTTGCCCTTCTCTGCACTTTTTCCAATTATAATATATCTTTTCTGAGATGGGGTGACTAGAGTTGCACAAAGTATTCAAGGTGTAGGCGTACCATGGATTTATATATTGGCATTATATTTTTTGTCTTATTATTTATCTCTTTCCTAATTGTTCCTACATTGTTAGTTTTTTTTGACTGCTGCTTCACATTGAGTGGATATTTTCAGAGAACTATCCCAATGATTCCAAGATATCTTTTGTGATGGTAATGGCTAATTTAGACCTCATCATTTTGTATGCGTAGATGGGATTCTGTTTTCCAATGTGCATTACTTTGCATTTATCAACATTGAATTCCATCTGCTATTTTGTTGCCCAGTTTTGGAGATCCATTTGTAATTCACCGCAGTCTACTTTGGACTTTACTATCTTGAGTAATTTTGTATCATCTGCAAATTTTCCCACCTCACTGTTTATCCCTTTTTCCAGATCATTTATGAATATGTTGACCAGCACTGGGCCCAGAACAGATCCCTTGGGGACACTGGTGTTTAGGGGTTTTAAGATTTAGGGATTGATTTGACGTGAAACGTGAACTACCCAGAACTCCTAGAGGTGAGACCTCCAGCTCAGGCTGAGGCATACTAATGGGGCAAGGCAAGAAAGCCTGAGCCGGACCTGTTCTATAATTAAATAAAAGACTTCAGTTCAAATGCCTGAGTAGTGAGCACTACAGACCTGATATCCCTCTCACACCAGTGAGAAACAGGAGTAATTACAGTGAACCAAATGTAAAATAGCATAGGTGAGAGAAGCATCAGACCTTAAATTCCTTAAACAGATTTTTAAAAGTATTATTTCCTGGACTTAAAGTTGTTGTAGTAAAATAAATAAATAAATAAATAAAGATACAGTACAACCTCAATTTTATGAACATCAATCTTAGGACACTTTTCTTGATGGGGGTGCGGGGGAAGTCTTATGACTAAAGTGATGTCAGTGAAGAATAGGTTGACATCTTTTCACATTCTGATATCTTCAGTGCATCGGGAATTGCTTTGCAGGGGTTTGAAGGGCAAGAAGTAATCAATGCAGTGCACCATGCTGCAATTTATGCACTATACCTTCTGTAATTTTGAGATGTTCAGTTTTATGAATTTTTTTATTTAATGAACTCGATCCCCAAATAGCTGATAAAATGGGGATTCTCCTATGTTTGATGAAGATTTCATGAATATTGGTCATACAATTGTGGGTCTAGGCTAGCCCATGAAAAATACCTTTTTGTAACAGTTTCTTCTGATTCTATTTTCTGTTTAAAATTATAAAAACGTGTTCATTTGACAGGCCTGTACTCTATTTAATGTGATATATTAAGTTTATAATATTTAAAATAACAGTTACACTTCTATAAATTACTGTTACAAGATTGTAAGATTCTCATTGCAAACAACACTTTGAATGGGTCATAAAAATAGGGCCTGAGCCAGAGCCCATCGAAGTCATGGGAAAGTGAAAGAAGTGGACTCTGGATCAGGCCATAAGTTAAGTAAAAAATCCAAACAACAAAGAACCTTTTAGCCATTTACAAAGTTAGAGTTCATGATTTGTATTTCTATGTGCTGATTAGCAAACACATATGAAGGATACAGGATTTGTTAGTAATTTATAGTAAAATTAAATTTGTATCAATAATATTTATTCTCTCTTTATAAGCTGCCTATCACCTGTGTTTGCTGAAACTCAGTGAAGAACAATAATGCCACAAATCCTGATTTGCCTAGTTTTGGCTTTCTAAACAATCACCTTGGGGCCCAAACCTACACTCACTTAGTGAGCAGTTCCACCATGATGATAATTTTATTTTTGCTATAAGAAGGATTTCTGTGGCCTACCCTTTTATGTTATAGTAATACTTACATACTTTCCATTTCAGACCTTTTCTCAGATATATAAATATGTAAAATTAAACAAAACCAAGTCCTAGCTAGGTCTGGATCCTGGAACACTACAGGGCCAGATGTTCAGAGGTGCTGAACACCCTCAGGCCCTATTATAAATCAGGTTCACTGAACCCCACTAGGGCTACTTGTGATTACACTCCACACCTTTTTCTGCCTGTAGAGGGATCTGATGTGGAAAGTGTTTTATAGGTAGGTGTTAATTTTATGTGAATGTGTATGCCGTAAAATCCCCTTATAGGACAAAACGACTACATTATAACTGGCTTTAGAGTTTTCACTAACTATGCATTGAAACCATTTGGAACTATCATTCTGTTTCCCTATAAACAGTTTTATTTATATTTGAATTCACTACACAGCAACATTATATTTATGTCTGCCTATACGTATCAATATACAGAGATAAATACATAAGACATTCATTTTGTGTATTGGCAGGGTATATTTTCCCTTACTTATTCAGGAAAAATGCATTGTCTAGTAATTCCATTTGGTTATATAACCCAAGACGCTTTTTGATAAAAATTGAGATCAGATGCTGAGGCCGTTGCTGATATTCTACTAGAACTTCATGGGGTGCCTTAATCTGGTCACCTTCGAGTCGGTTAAGGAGTGCCACACAGACAACAGCAGCTATAAGAAAAACAAAAACGCCCTTTTAAGTAACTTATGATATACCGAAATATGCACGGTATTTGCTACAGTAAAGGATTATATTCCTAGCGCACATAGATAATGCAGGTTTATCGGGGGAGGGGTTAAATGAAGGGCTCAATATACCTCCCTGGGAAGGTGTAAGCTGCACTTCCTGGAACTTACAGGGGCAGCTGTACTGGAGAAGCAGAGGCAGTGTCATCATAATTACCCCCCATTTGCAGATCTGCAGCTGCAATCTTTAAGCTTTATCCAGAGCTCCTTAGGAGCTCAATTGGCAGAGCTTGCCTGAAAATTCATTCATCATATGCACTGAAAATATGCCCCACAATATGTTAGCAAGAGACAGGTGATCTTTGCAGCCAGTAAAAGAAAACCAGAGACACGGGCATAGCCAGGAAACTATTCAGAGCTGGGCTGAGTGAAATTTTGGTTTTGCCAAGACAGTTAAGTGTTTTTTCTACGCCCTGCACTTCCAAACAAGGAGTTTCAGGTAAACATTTTATGAAGCCACTGGATTTGTGTTAATATACGTTTTAATGAAAGAAGCTTGGAATACATTTTTAGTTTTCACATTGTATAAATCCCAGAGCTGACCAAATCCATATGTAGATAAAATTAGGAAGTGTGAAGGAGTATGAGAACAAACGTGAAAAGGAAATGGCCTGTGACAAGAAATCTTACCTTTTAGACCACAAAGCCCACATATAGCAGCAAATACAGTTGACTCCATTTCAATATTTCTTACACCAGCATCATAAGCTCTCTTTAAGTACTCCAACTTCTTTTCATTGGAAAAAGAACACAATGCTCCATCTAATCGTCCTTGACCTGGAAAGAAAAAAACCTGTGACTGCTCATCCTTCTATACATTATGGGGTTTACAGTCATAGTAAAACTGGCTGCAGTCTCAGGCAGTTTCTCTCAAAGTGCAGAATTTGTCTAAATTCTCCTTAAAACTGCATTAAATTGTTATTTTAATGGGGCTCATTAAATTATTTATTTCTTATTCCATTTGCTATGTATTTTTAAAGCCAATCTGCTATGACAAAATACAGCTGAGTTCACTATAGAAGTTTTAACAAAACCGAGACCAAAAAAACACAGGTGCATAGAGATATGGTGGCAGATTCTCAGCTGTGTAAGTTGGCATAGCTCTGAGGCTCTGGCAGATGAAATCTACAACATACCAAGTTGCTTTAGAAAACGATTAACAAATTTAGGTACACATGCCCCTTCCATTATGTGGAGAAAATGGAGATGGAAAAGACCTTTTAATCTTAATTTTAACTCCTTTTTTTGAAGGGAGATGGTTAATTATAGGAATCAAACTGGTTTAAGAGAATTTTTTCTTGACAACTTTGTTTTCTACCAGGGGTTCACACCTCTGTTCTCACTTTTCCAAATCTCTTAGGGCTTGGCTACACTTGCAAGTTAGAGCGCATTAAAGCAGCCCTAGGCACCCTAACTCCCAATGTGTCCACACTGCCAAGTCACATAGAGCGCCTGGACTCTGCAGCTGGAGCACTCCTGGTAATCCACCTCCACGAGAAGCATAAAGCTTGCTGTGCCCCAGCGGAAACGCCTGGGTGTCAGTGTGAACGAGGTGTTGCATTACTGCGCTGTGATTGGCCTCCAGAAACATCCCATAATCCCCTGAAGTCAAGTGGCCACTTTTTTCATTGTTTTGAAAGCTCTGTTTCTGACAGCTGGCATGCTTATCTGCTCCGGGACAAAGCAAGCCATTACTGTGGAATGCTGCTGTTGTGAGTGTGTGTGAGAGGGGGGGCGGGGGAGGGGTGGTCTGCTGCTGTCTGAACTTACAAGACAGCATGCTGACATGCTCACAGCCCCCCAAAACACACTCCCTGTCACACTCCACCCTCCATTTGAAAAGCACGTTGCAGCTACTTGCACCCTGGGATAGCTACCACAATGCACTGCTCTCTGTGGTGTTGCAAGAGCTGCTAATGTGGCCACGCCAGTGCGCTTGCACCTGACAGTGTAAACACGCGGCAGCGTTTTCCCTGTTGCGGTCTCCGAAGGCTGGTTTAACTCCCAGCGCTCTACATCTGCAAGTGTAGCCGTGCCCTCAGACTCAGGATCCATTTAGAAAAACAATTAACTCTCACTCATACTCTCAAATATTCTAAGGGCCCAATTCTTGGATCTGGCCAAGCTGCCCCCTTCACTGGATGCAGGAGGTGAGGGCAAGTGAGCAAAGATGCTCTTGCACTGCTCTGTCCCCGGGGCTGCCGAGGGCAGTCGCGTCCTCCCACATAATGCAGCACTTAGGTTAGGAAATGGCCTTCAAAGCGATCTATAAGGACTGCATTCCTGGTGGCTGTAACATTAGCAAAGAGAGCGGGTGAGATCCATGCTGCAAAACCGAGCCCTTCTTCAACAGTGTGCTGTAAGGATAGGTGACCTACGAGATGATTCAGTTTACTTGACTCAATCTATCAGTCTATCACTGTTGGTCCCTAATCTTCCTAATTTAGCAGGTGAGGCTAGATAGTTATCTTAAAAATGTTCTTAGTTACTGTTGAGAAAGAACAAAGCCTTTTTGTAAATCCCATAGATTATTTGTAGCAGATGGAGACCAGTCCAGAGGGCTGATAAATTTTGCTTAGAAAATAAGTGAATCATTCATTGCGTTCGAGCCTGCTGTGACTTTACATATGTCTTTAATTGAGGTTTTAGGCTTATCCGTACTTAAAACTGTACAGCTGTGCCGCTGCAGCTCTAGTGCTTTAGTGTAGACACCCCCAGCACTGATCAGATGGATTCTCCCGTCAGTGTCGGTAATCCATCTCCCCAGGAGGCAGTAGCTAGGTGAAGGAAGAATTCTTCCATTGACCTAGCACTTTCTACGTGGGGACTTAGGTTGGTCTAACTCCACCCTTCAGGGTTGTAGATTTTTCACATCCCTGAGCAACGTAGTTATGACGAGCAAATTTTCTACTGCAGACCAGGTCTCAGAACACTTTCTAATAGATCTGAAACAGCCTCTACACAATTGCTTAGAAAAGTCTCTGTAATAGAGATGTGTAAGGTTACTACATGGAGCTCAATTCACACATCTTTCCAGCAGCATTCTCTTTGAGTTAGCTTGTAGGTCTGATGTCCAATGAGGAAGAGTAGTCTTGTAATCATTAACTCAGTTAATACTCCTTTAGTGGGGTGGGGGTGGGTTTGTCATCATTAGCTAATTGCCAAATGGGGCAATTATCAAAGGACAAAAAAAGGCTGCTTATTAGCTACTGGATCCATATTGCCCAGCCACCTTCCCTGCTTCTGAGTCTTTAGATGATTTTTTGACTAAACAGGAAAAGAATTGATTTGGGATAGGCTGGGTTGAAGCACTTTATATGCCTTTGGGTCGGAAAGTCTGGATCTGTGCAGAAGCATGTGTACAACAGTGGACACAATTCCTCTAGCGGGTTCTGGCTGTAAACTGAGGGCACATGCACATTTCTACAAGTGTGGCTGTATTCAGGCAACTGACTGATAGAACTACAGCTCCTGGAAAGTGACCTGTCTTGATAACATCACTGATTTGTTTTTACTAGTATTTTGGAATTTAATTTTGATCTTCAAAGAATGAACCCCTTCTCACTTGTGCTTATGTTTCTCACTTAGATGTTATGTCCTCGGCTCAGGCAAATGTACACCTAAAACTTTACTACACTGGACAAACCTTTTAATATCCTTGTTGTTCCTACTGTTAATCCTCTCAAATGGCTTTTTATTTAAGTAAAACATGGCCTTGAGAAACACACAGATGGCTGCGTTTGCAAGCAGATCCAAAGATTTATAAATAGTCCTCCAATTATTAATTCTCCATTTATTCTGTTTCATCCACTTTGCAATCAGCATTTAATTTTGTAAAGGAAACCGTTCCAAGATATTGCCTAGGATCTAAGGTTTATTTACACAAATGCCACACACTTACTGACATTTTTCTTCTGTTAGGTAATTCTGAAGCTATAATCCTGTCATAGGAAGTAATTTAGTGTAACCCATCTGTTAAAATTATGTTAAGATTATAGACAAGGGGCTATTTACTTTAGCTGCTTAATGTTATGTGCCTATTGCTTTCAAAGATTCACTGAGTATATGCTGGTTTTGGTGGCTCAGTAGGGCTGAGGGATAGCAGGAAGTGCTATCCAGGGAATCCTATACTTTCCTAAGGGAGTGAGTGCTGTCCAGAATGAATTGTAATGCTTGATTCACTGCCATGGTTATAATAATATTTTCTTTGCAGATGTGTTGTTGTTACAAAATTTGACTAAGTGGCAGATGCAAATAGAGGCCAATTACACTATGGTTAATGGTTGTGCTAATTGGTATGACATATTATGAAAGTAGTTCCATTTCTGACCTGTAAACAAGTCTCTAAAATATATGGTGGATCAAATCCTAAAGTCCTTCCTTGCGTTTTACTCAGCACTTACTAAGGCAACTCTCCTGCTGACTGCACTGGTCATTTTGCCTGAGCAAGGGTTTCAGGATCTGGTCTTATGTTTGAAAAAGAAATGAATAGAAAATTAGAGATACCCCTCACCTTCATAAAAATCATAGGTGCACATAGTATTACCAATAAGTGTTGGAAAGTAATGAATCTCTTTGCTGCAGTTCAGTAGCTCCTCAACAAGGTCCTTATCAAGTTCAGTGCTTCGTACAACTATATTATCCAGTATCACCTGCTCAAACCGAGCCTTAAAAAATGAATCCACTGCGATATCTGTGATTACAACAGTTCCAGGGTCAATGCCTGCAGAAGTGGGGATTGGGGATAGGTTAGTGCTACGTAATATTTATAATTTAGATTATAACCTAATTTATTACAGTAATATCTTAATTAATATGAATATTTATCAGCAAACTATATATATGAGAGAACCATTCAAATACATACAAAGTAAAACTCAGTAAGTGGATATGAAAGGTTGCAAAGGGAATATGTTGGCTAAAGGGTATTTATTTCTTCTGATACGTAGGTGGGGCAAGGAGAGTTCATGTGTAGCTATTGGTTTGTATGTATGATTTGTCTATGTTTTAATGAATATTTGCTTAAGGTGAAAAGATAGGCATATTTATTTTGATTTCTAAGCCTCCCCTGCCCTCCCCACCCAAAACTGTGCATCTTAGATCCTGTACTCCTAAAAGGTAAAGGAGATTCTCAGTTAGCTAATTCACTAGGGGCTGTGGGCGTTTTGAGCAGAAGATTAGCTTTCTGTCCCACTACTGCCATGATGTTCCAAATGACCTTCTATGCAGGTGCAGCAGAGCGACAAATGTGAAGTCCTAAAGTGTCCATGGAGTGGTTAAAATACTTTATTGTGCTCCTCAATTTGGGTTTAATCCTGAAGGGTTTATGCAGTCAAAGCTCTCATTGGAGGAAATGGGAGTTTTGCCTGCATCCAGACTGAATGATCAGGCCTGCTTTATTTCCATTACATAGTTATTCCAATTCCTCTCTGAAAGTTGATCTAAATTTATATTTTCTGAACTTCAAGTTAATGTGGTCATTAATATTGACTGAACACTTCCATTATAAGAGAGAGATTTCTTAGTCCCCATTCCTTGCCTATCTTTTCCATTCATTCTTAGACTGTAACTTCTCTGGGAATTGTCTCTCCATTCATGTTTGTATAGCACCCCACACAATGGGGCCCCAATCCTGATTAGGACTTATGGGCTTGCCGTACAAAACCAATTGATTATACTTATTATTATTAACTGAGTGAAAGATGTTCTATTAGGGCTGAAACTTTCCGTGCTTGGTATCAGCTTATGGGTGAGTATTTTGGGAAATAAGAGTAAACTTCTGTCAGCTGGTTTGGGTCTGGAAAGAGTATTATTCAGATGTATTAGATTTCAAGATATCATGTATTATGAAAATGTATGTTTCTGCTAAACCAGCCATTAGAAGTTTGATATTTGTTGACTTGAAATAAAATCTCATGTTTTGTTTGATGTTTGAAGACCTGAAAAAAATAAAAAATATGTAAAGCTCCTAATAACTTGATCTATTACTTAGCTGTATTTTATTAAATGTCCTTTCCATCTGGCAGTAGTACAGCTGGTAGCTTACCTAAGCCCCCAGAAGTACCGATGCGTATAATAGTAACATCACGGCATTTTGCATGGTGTAGTAATTTGATTAGTTCATGAAGCATAATAGAAATGGAAGGAACACCCATCCCGTGCTATTGAGAGAAAAGAAAATGAAAGCATCATTAATCATCATTTTTGTTCAAGCTGATACATATTTATAAAATTACTTCAGAATTTTACTATATAGCCAGAGCTATCCTGTTCCCATTGATGTCAATGGGATATTTCTGTCGGAGAAGCATCGGACTGTGAATCACACCTTCATGGATTGGGGCATCCATGTGAGGGGCCAGCTTCTCTGAACTACTCTCTCTGATCCCACCTGACAGCGTGGCACCAGGTGAAGTTGTACTAATGATGGTTCTCTGTGTGCACCTACTGTGCTCCCTATCCACATACCTCTTACGGAGTTGGCAGCACAGAGATGGAGCCCAGAGGAATGAATGGTGTCAGGTTAAGCATTAGTTCCCACAGGTGTTTTTCTCCAGGTATATTAGGGAATGATGACATATAGAAAGCTCTTTGGAGCAGGGACTGTCTCTTGTTCTGTCATGCTTGGGAGGAGCTCCCTGTAAACATCTGCAAAGCTACCTCATTATCCACCTTCAAACCCCTCCTCAAAACTCTCCTGGGGCCATTGGCAAAAACATGACAATGGTTAGGCTGCTGGTGTGCTGAGACCACTGCCTAGTATGGTGACCAACACTGTCTCGTCGTTTCCTTTCACTCCCCTGTCTGTGTCCATCTGTTGTCTCTTGTCTTATTCTGAGATTGTAAGCTGGTTGCGGCAGGGACCGTCTTCCTGTGCTGTGTTTGTTTCTAGCACAGTGGGGTCCTGGTCCATGACTAGAGCTCCTAGGTGCTATAGCAAGACAAAAAATCATTAGTAAATATAATAATATGTTTGTGAAGTGCCAGGCACAACAGGGCCCCAATATCAGTAGGGGTCCCTAGGTGCTATTATAATGCAAATAATAAGAATGATTATTGTAATAATGGAGAGGCTATGACTCACCCGGAATTGCTCTCACCCCATGGAGCCCCAAACACATCACAGGTCCAGTTTCTTATATATCCTGCAGCTGCTTTATACTGCACTGGCAATACAAAGTATCCCTGCAGCCAACATAGCTGGCAATGGCAAGATCACCTTGGGTGTAGGCGCAGTGTTGCAGGCCCTATGCCACACCCAAACAGTCAATCACTTTACAACACAAGAGTCCAAAGGAGCAAGGCCCTGCAGGTTCTCAAACGGGGTGGTGGTTGGAGAAGGCTCTGCCTGAGGGCCTTACCTGCTCTGTGGTCTCTTTTCTGGCTCATTCTTCTGCCTGACTTCCTGGAAAAGAGTTCATTTCTCCTGCAGCTTGTCTACCACCCTTTGCCTGGGTTTCTGAGCTCTTTTTAACCCAGTCCTTCAGTTAGTGCATGCTCAGCAGGTCTGGAGGGGCGGGGCTAGCTGGGTCCAGTATTGCCTTTTAAACCCTTTGGGTCCAATGGGGTGTTTGTACTCTCCTGGGGCCATTGGCAACCATTATAATTTAAAGCATGATTTAGGCTGCTCTAAGTTACACCATGGGAACAAGATCAACGTACAGCTCTCCTGGAATAGCTATCCTGAGCTGCACTGTACATTCTTGCACTGCAGCCAAGGATGTAGGTCACGGGGCACACAGGAGAGGTGTCTGTATTGTGGGAAAGAGTCTGCTGCTTTGGCTCACCTTGCCTCTCTGGGTACGTCTACACTAAAAAAAAAGCCAAACAAACAACCCCCCCCCGCCCCCCCCACACAACCCCAAACCGTGCAGCGGCAAGTCTCAGAGCCTGGGTTCTCTGAGTTGGGGGGATAAAAATAGCAGCTCCAAAAACCTCCCCCCTCTCTGGATTTCAGAGCCTGGGCTTCAGCCTGAGCCTGAATGTCTACATTGCTATTTTTAGTCCTGTGGTGCAAGCCCAAGTCAATCGACCTGGGCTCTGAGATGTGCTGCCATAGGTCTTTTTTGCAGTTTCCTACTACTTTCATCCCCTTTGCCTAAAGTCAGTACAGCGAGAATGTCCTTTCCCTAAATCTGTCTTGTCAGTAAATCAGTTCTGCTTTCAAAAACCCAGAGGCAGGTGTTTTCAAATGGGTAGGATTTATTTTGGCCCAATGGGAACATCGTTGGTTCTATCATTTCTTTTTTCCATTTGCAGTGTGTCCCATCTCTCTCTCTGTTATAGGAAGATGGTTTTATTAAGTTTTATTGCATTTTATGTGTTAACATATTTTTGTGTTCTTATTATTCTTGTATAGCTGCCTGAGTTCCTTGACAGTGCGTTAAAAAAAAATATTTTTATAAGAATAGCCAAGGCAGAAATCTCATAAATACCCCTAAAAAGAACAGGAGTACTTGTGGCACCTTAGAGACTAACAAATTTATTAGAGCATAAGCTTTCGTGGGCTACAGCCCACTTCTTCGGATGCATATAGAATGGAACATAAATACCCCTAGTATTTCTGAGCCTGTTTGCATCTTGCTAAAACATGACATCAGCAACAACTCATAACAAATCATCTAATGGGGCATTGGCCAGAAATTTTATCCTACTTACCATCAGAATCATACAGTGTTCAACGTACAGTGGAAAGTTGCTCCTGACCTAGCCATCATTAATTGGCTGGTTTCTTGATGCCTGAAAGATATCAGTCAACTAATGATGTCTAGGTCAGGAGATATAAAACAAAAACAAATAATTTAGAATTGACAAGTTGTGCACACAGGTAGCCTCTGAAACTGTGAAGTTATTACTCTTCTTTTGTCTTCTCTTCTCTTTACTTCCTACTGTTTGGCTTAGTCATGTGCTACATCGTGTCTTAGGCCTTGTCCACACAGACTTCCATTGGTTTAACGAACAGTGTGTTTTAAAACTAATTTAGCTAAAATAGTACAAGTTTGTGTGTAGACAAAGCCTTATATTAGGATTGTATCCTGACAGTGTCACAGTTGTCACTGAATTTTAGACTGATTGAGCAATAATAAAAATGTCATTATTTCCTCTTTTGTTTTTCCAAGAGCCATGGGGCAGGGGTCGCTTGCTGGAGGATTCTCTGCGACTTGAAGTCTTTAAATCATGATTTGGGGACTTCAACAGCTGAGTCAAGGGAGAGAATTATTTCAGGAGTGGGTGGGTCAGCTTTTGTGGCCTGCATCATGCGGGAGGTCAGACTAGATGATCATAATGGTCCCTTCTGACCTTAAAGTCTATGAGTCTTTTCTGTGTCTGCTTTTTAGGCTCCAGTCCTGCAAACACAAGTGTGTAACTTCACTCAGGTGAGTGGTCTCCTTGACTTCTCATATGAGTAAAGTTAGGACTACTCAGATGAGTAAAATGACATATGTAGGTGATTGCAGGATTAAGATTTTATACCATGCCAAAAGTATTGTTGACATTTAAAGAATAATAACAAAATAAGATTGCTACCATAAGGCTTTTAGGGAATGGTTGTAATATTTTCAACTATATTTCATAGTTTGGGCATGGTGTGAAGTGATCTTACCTCTTGAACTTTCAGATTGCTAAACTGAGCAAAATGTGCCCTCTTTCTGTTGTAAGACAGGGACCTTGCAAACTGAATATACAGGATGCCAAGAAATATGACATGACTCAAACATAAGAATCTTTTTTTATAAATCATCATTCTCAGTCCTGAGCCGGCTCCTATTGAAATCCATGGCAAAACTCCCATTGGCATCCTTGGGAGCAGGAGCATGCTCCGTGCCTATTAAGCTTTTGTCTACACATGTAGTAGAAGTGTGGAAAAGGGAAATTCATGAGCAGGCATGAGCATGTGCTCTAGTCCAGTGGTTCTCAAGCTGTTTGGGTCGGGACCCCATTTTAATGGGGTCGTCAGGGCTGGTGTTAGACTTGCTGGGGTCTGGGGCCAAAGCCCAAGCCCCAGCATCTGGGGCCAAAGCTGAAGACTGAGGGCTTCAGCCCTGGGTGGCGGGGGCTTAGGTTACAGGCCCCCTGCCTGTAAGCTGAAGCCCTGGGTTTTGGTCCCTCCACCCCCACCATGAGGCGGCGGGGCTCAGACTTTGGCCCTCCCACCCAGGGCAGCGGGGGGCTTGGGTAGGGGCTTTGGTCCCCCCTCCTGGGGTCATGCAGTAATTTTTGTAGTCAGAAGTGGGTTGCGGTGCAATGAAGTTTGAGAACCCCTGCTCTAGTCCAAGTATTGAAAGTAAGGGGAAATAATTTATAGAAACCAAAAGATCAAGCAACAGCAGATTTTCACTAGGCTTATTGAAGTTTTAAATATAGCTTTATGAGTGACTGAAAGATTTTACTGGTGAAAATCTTTTGAGCGTAAAGGGAAAATTTGTTACTGGCTTAGTCCATTATGAATGAAAAGCACAGGCATGGGAATCAGGGCATCTCTAGAGAGCAGGAGATGTAACCTTGTGCAAGTCACTTAATCTCTGTGCCTTGGTCTCACCGTAAAATGAGGATAATTACCCTTTCCTACCACTTAGAATATTGAGAAGTTTAATCAATTAGCACTTTTGGATCCTCTGATGGCAGACACAACAGAAATGCAAAGAGACTGGGAGTGGAATTGTTGATATTTCCAGCTTGTCAACCTCTGAGACAATAAGGCTGTAGCTATGCCACTATAACCCCGTAAACACACTATCATACAGAAGGGGTTTTTCCATTGCTGTAGGAACTCCATCTCCCCAAGCGAAGATAGCTTAGTCAATAGATGCTGTGTCTACACCAGGGTTTAGGTTGGCATAACCACGGTGCTCGGGGGGGGGGGGGGGAACACGTTGGTGGATTTTTCAACCTAAGACTATGCCAACCTAAGTTTTAAGCATAGATCAGGCCTAAGAGATGTGATGGAAGAAAATTACCTGCTGTGGTAATCACTATGTTTAAACCATTGGCCAACCTGCTGGCTTGTTGAACTATGCTGTTATTTCTATATGCACTACCTCTAGGAAATAGCAAATAGAGAACAATGTAACAGTGTTAGCTGTTAGGCTTTTTTGGAAGAATCCAAAACTTTTTCCATCAGTTAAAAGTGGGGTCTTTATGGCTTGGGAGATAGGAGCCTTTTATCTCTAGGTCACAGATTTGAATCCAGCTCAGAGCAGTGGTGCATGGAAGTTATTATGATATGATGGCTTCTTGACAGCAACATGAAATTAACGTGATAGATCATCCAATAATCAGTGGATTACCACGATAACTGACACCCTTCTTGGCAGTCTCAACACAGAGGCCAAGAACTGAAGAGCATGAAGACTTAACTAGCCTCTCATTCCAAGAGGCAGTTCCTCTAGGTCAGGGGTAGGCAACCTATGGCACGTGTGCCGAAGGCGGTACGTGAGCTGATTTTCAGTGGCACTCTCACTGCCTGGGTCCTGGCCACCAGTCCGGGGGGCTCTGCATTTTAATTTAATTTTAAATGAAGCTTCTTAAACATTTTGAAACCTTATTTACTTTACATAGAACAATGGTTTAGTTATATATTATAGACTTATAGAAAGAGAACTTCTAAAAAGGTTAAAATGTATTACTGGCATGCAAGACTTTAAATTAGAGTGAATAAATGAAGACTCGGCACACCACTTCTGAAAGGTTGCCGACCCCTGCTCTAGGTCAACATGCTGAGGCTGTTCTTGTAATGCTGCTCCCCATAGTATGTTCCCTATTCAGTGTCCAGGGCTCTCAATCCAGCAGCTTTCAGAAGCTCTAAGTCCACATGGAACATTTAAAAAAGAAATACAAACAATGTGCTAAATTCTTCAGCTGTTGTTGGCCTGAAAATGGAAGTATTTTAGGTACACTATAAAGTACTTACACTGATGGAGAGCACTGGTCCAGCCTTGTACATAGAATACCGATCTGTCCCAGCACAAATATCTTTCAAGTCTTTCCCATCTCCTTCAAGTCCAAGTTCTTTGTGCATGAACTGAGCAAAAGCTTTCATTCTGTTAGGGCTGCCACCAACGCAGACAAACTAGAAATAAAATGTAAGATTATCTGTACCATTCTAGCTAAAGCAGGGATCAAGACTCAGTCTGCACTTCTAATGTTACACTCAATTGCTTTAGTGGAATCATATATCCAAAGGGAGCAGATGTGAAAGTAAAGCAACCGCAAGACACAATTATCTAGTCTTGCAATTCTTATATGGAAATTCTTTTTAGAAATATGTGACATTTTATAATTCCAGCCCCATCACAAATCTACTGTATATATTTTTTTAAAATATGCCAACACCGTGTTTTAGGAGGACAAACAGTCTGATTTATTAGACCCATATCCTAGCTAGATAACCATTGTTCATGTTGTAACCTTGTTAATGGATCTGGACTTGTGCTGATACTAAGTATCAAGTGTTTATTTGGATGGCTTTGTGGTTAGAGGATGGAACTCAGATTCTATTCCTAAAATATATTGTCTACATGTCCTGGTATTGCCACAGGCTTCCTTCCTGACTTCCTAGGCAAGTTACTTAATCTTTTTGTGCCTCAGATTATCCCTCTAAAATGGGAATAAGAATTACTGTGAAGCTTATGTTTGTAAAAGTGCATCGAAATCCTCAGATGGAAGCTGCAGTGAGAGTACATAAATGGAAAATATTATTGTTATTTGTTAGGTTTCTGACTATCATTCATGGGAATGAACAAACTAGGCTCTCTCTTTCTTTTAGTGAGGACTATAGAGGATCAGATTAGTTCAAGGGTCTAAAAAAATAGGAAATAACATTAAAAATTACATATGGTGTTACTATAGGATTTCACTACTGTACAGCTGCGAATACTTGGATATTAATTCCTGGCCAAGTAAATGCAAAATAACATCAGTGTAATATATGCACTGAATTTAAGTTGTTACTATTGCTACAGACAGCAAAGCAGAAACAGATGTTAGAGTAGCTAATGGTCTAATTTGTTCTATCAACAGTGTCAACAAGAATTATTGAGCATTGCTGGAGACATAAAAACAATGGGAGGAGACAACATTTCACAAATGACATTATTTTCAAAAATCTAATTCTACATTTAAAATGCAACTAAATGTTCCCCTCTGCCAACCTGATTTCAAATCTGGCTGCTGAGGTCAGAAGTAACATGAGGTTTCAGACCACCAACACAGTCTCTAGTGGATACTTGTTTACATTGTAAAACTATTGCACAATTTCCCACACAGTGCTCAGGAAAAAGAGAGGTCTGGGACAGTTGCAGGTTGAAATGAGGTGTTTGGCAGAGCTGTGGGGAGAGCTTAACTGCCAGTGTTACTGCCAGGCCCTCACTTTCAGGTGTACCACATTTGTCCCCCAAAAATATGTTTTAGGAGATTGTAGGGCTTGTCTACATGTGGGGATCCACAGCTTTTGAAGTTAATCCACTTTGAAAACGTTTGTGTACACACAACTGCATCATGTAGTGCACTGACTCCTCATGTACTGTGAACTCTGCGGTCCTCTTTCAAAATGAACTAACTTTTCTGTGAAGGAGTTAGTCCAGTCTAGTGTTCGTGTGTAAGCAATAATGCTGCAAATTACTTTGGCAGTCCTTCAACAGCTGTCTCACTCCGCTTTGTGAGTGACCATTACTGACCTGTCTGTTTACCTGTGTGCCCTCAGTCAAATTGACCAGGCGTCCCCTCCCCCACTTATAAGCTGGCACAGTGCCAGATTTTGTCCATTCGCTCCTAGATTCCAGTTTATCACAATACCTGTGATAATACTCCAGAAGCCCCATTACATGCCTCAGGCAGCCACCTGGCTGCATTGAGACCCCGAATCTAACCACTATCTGGAGAGAAACATCAATGCAGGAAGCTCTTGTGGCCAGCCATGAGAATAAAGACCTTTTTGTGGACATTGCTCAGCAGATTTCTCTGAGGGGCCATGACCAGCATACTGAACAGTGCCAGATAAAGAGCAAACAGCTCATGAGCACCTACATTACATGGAGGGACAACAGGAAAAATCCTTCTGGGGACATGTAACCTGTCAATTTTTATGAGGAACTGAAAGGATTTTGCATAGCTGCATGACCACCCAACCCAGGCAGCTTGTGGAGCCTGCTGGCCACCTTCTCTCTTCCCCTCCATCCCCCACTCCCAGAGGATGACATGCAAGATACATTGGGGTATGAACATAAAGAGGCCAGTAAAGGGATCTCCCCATAAAGCCAGGATCGGTTCAGGACCCAGGACCCTGATGCTGGCTATGTAGAACATGAGCCCAATTCCTGCACTGTAGCAACCAACCTCAATCCCCAGGCAGCCATCCAGACCAGGACTGAGGCTGATCCTATGGAGGGAAACTCAGCATGTACGTTTTTTTAAATTATTTTTTAACGATTTACTATTTAACTTTTAATTGATGCTGCTGCTGTACTGTTGTACTGGCTTCTGTTCTGGGCACCCCATGGCCACGGCCATTGATAACTCCATGGTCCCTGCCTGCCAGCCTCCCTAGACAAACATTGTCCATTGCCCTCCTAGCCCTGTAAACCTTTCCAAAATGGTACCTACCCTGGCCAGGCCTCTGTCTCATGCTAAAGCCCCAACTACTGACCAATTTCAGGCCTATGCCATGGAAGACACATGCGCGTGCTCCGATCTCCTTTTCCCCTTCCCTCGGCTGGTAACAGTGAATGCTTCAGGCAATCATTGCAGAACCCTGTCCATTTTTTCTTTTCGCTTTCTATATGCCTGCAGGGGAGATATCTAAGCACAATCTAAGAGAAACAGCTCAATTTTTGTTCTGAGATTATGAGGAATAGCTGCACGGCCATCCTCCCTGGTATAGCTAGTGACTCCCTTCCACTCCTGCAGCACTTCTGGAGGGACCATCTTGATGATTAACTTCACAGCGTATCTCACTGGTCTGCCTTTTGCCTTTTTGAATAAGTGGGGGCATTCTCTGCCTCCTAGTCACCCACCTCAGCATAACCTCATTCAGAGTCAGGACAGCCTAAAAGAGATGGAGAAGGGATTACTATACAGCTCACCCCCAGATTCACCCTGCTAACTCCTTTGACACCATATAGGCACCTAAAATGCACAGTAAAACGAGGCAGGGGACTTAATTCCCAAACCCGCCCCACCCTCCAAGGAACAATGGCAAAGCCACATAGACAAAAATCCCAACACAAACACCACGTACCATCTTCCAGGTCCCCCCAAGACTGGGAAGAAATGCAGAGAGGTAAAGGCAGAAACACATGTTAAAAAAAATAGCTATCACAGCCTTCCTAGAATGTGAACAGTAACTGCTTGTCATTTCTTTAATACCCCCAACTGCTGTGCACCTGCACTGGTCAGACCCTCAAGGACAGGGCCTTTATCAACAGCAGAATAAATCTGAGAGGGAGATAAGGGAAAAGTCCTGTGGAAATGTTCATGGACATCAATACAAAGTCCTCCAAAACCCTCGAAAAATGCAGAGCGGGGAGGCAGTATCTGAGAACTGAGAATGAAACTGACAAGGAGCTTTCTGGGAGATGGTTACAGTAGCAAAGGACAGTGTGGCAATTGGCAGGGAAAGCACTGCATTAGTCAAAGACAGTATGGAAAGAGACAGGGAGATGTAGAGGCAACTCCTGGAGGCAATATAAAGCCAAAATGCCCTGTTGCAGTGCATATTGCTCTTAGGGCAGCAGGCAATGTTTTCTTTCTGCTGCTTCCAACCTATTCTGCAAACAGCGCCATCTCCCTTTCAAACAACCAAATGCACCCTCCGCTGTCATTCTGAGGCTACTAAGGTAGTGGGTAAACAGTTCCTTCCTTCCTTCTGTCCAAGTGGCCTAGGAATGGCTTCATTAACCAGGGGAGCAGAGGGTAAGCAGGTCTCCCAGGAGCAATATCCACACCATTAATGTCCGTAGTGTTCCCAGGGGCAAAAGATCCTAGAATTTTGGACCCTTCTAAACCATCCTGCATTTATGTCTGTAACCCTGCCAAAATGGTTGACAAGCCCTTGGGAGCACCATGGAGAAATACCTCTGAGCCCTGATTGGGGGCAAATAACAGGCACATGAGTCCCATAAGTTGCCCAATAGTTTGGGAATCGCTTGCATGTAAAACCATCAATAGCCTCCTGAGCGTTACCAAGCTTTATAACCTGGTACAATAGTACCTTTTCCATGGCATCACACACAATGGCCCCAACATCTGATCTCCCCATGCTGAATTGGTTCACAACAGAGCAGGAGCATTCAGGGGTGGCCAGCTTCCAGAGAGCAATGGGGACCCCCAATCTGCCTGTTCACAGGTATGGGGCACTGCATATTGGCATGCTACCACTGTAGTGCTGGAATTAGTTCAGCATGGATCTCACAAAAGGTTGCGTTCCCCATCCTGAAATTCTCTCATCACTGCTGGCTGTCCTAGGTTTGCAGATCAAGCCGTTCCCACCAATCTCTGCTGGTTTCCTGAGCCCAGAAACCATGTTGCACACTGTGAAGCTGCTTAAGGAACAAATCCTCCACTGCCAGTTGGTCAGTGTCTTCTTCTTCATCCTCATCTGCGTCCCAGTTCCACCATCGCTGAGGACGCTCCTGTTGCTGGAGGAGCTGCTGCTGCTGCCACATCATCTGCTCAGTGGTGTGGTAGGCAAAGTCCCAAGTCGAATTCATCCAGCTTTGAATCCTGAAACACTGCCCAAGCAGCCTCTGCACATTTGAGGTTGCCAGCATAGCGGTGCAGGGCATTGTTGGGTCCAGGTTGACTAGCAGCAGTTCAAAAGTGGCACAAGCCTACCCATAAAGGAAGTATGGGGCAAAGACAGATGAATCATGGGATTTTAAAAAAATGTTGAAGTAGCTTGGCTTCCGCTCTGCATCCCACAAGACAGCAAGAAAAGTCCCAGAATAAACACCGCTCGGCAGCGAAGCATGGGAATGCCACGCCCTCAGTTTACAGCAAACTGTCGCCTTATGTACACACTGATGTGCATCAACAGAGGATACATCATCCCGTATGCACCCTATTATGCGGCATGGGTATGGTGTGTTACCTGATGCTCAGCAAAAAGTTGCGCATTAACCCCCCTTCCCCATCATGTAGACAAGCCCTTAGTCAATAAATCGAAAAGATTTGTAATCATAAGATGCATTTTGACCTCAGATCTCAATTGGAAACATGAAATCTTATGTCACTTGCCTCAAGTAGATGATGGCCAAATACTTCAAGACAAATATTCCTCCCCTGTGTAACTCCACTGATGTCATGGCAGATTGGAAACTAGGTTTTACCGAGGTGGGTTTTATTAAAGAAAACTTTTTGTTTGGGTTTCTGACCATATGATGAACTACAGAACTTTGTAGATTTGGGGCAAAAAGAATCTTTGCATATATACATTTCTGTATAACATCTTACCTTTGACTACGAGGATGAGTAGAAATTCCTTGAGAAATTGAGGTGAAAGCCATTCTCTGAAGTAATTTAGAATCCGTGCTGCTGGTGCAGAAATGGAGCACATCCTTCTTTCCTCAATAATAAAATACGTAGACTTGGAAATGACAGCTATCACCGATACGATGGGCCAAATTCATCCTTTGAAGTCAATGTACTCTCTCAGTTCTGAAGTCAGTAGAACTCCACCACGGAGGATTTTACCTCATTATGTCTGTGATAGGTTTAGTTTTTGAGTCTACATATTTTATTGAGAAAAGAAGAGTAATTTCCACTGCTGTATCTGCAGCACAGTTTTAGTAAGTTGCTTCACAGAATGGCATTGGCCTATGGGAAGTTTAACTCATCTTCCTAGTGAGACCTAAGAAGACACTAGATAAAGGTAACAGTAAGAGATGTTTGAAGAAAGGCAAGTATGAAGGAAATTATTTGTATTTAGAGCTATTGTAACCTTTGCATTTTTGTTTACCTTTACATCACCAAACATCACTGGTAGGTTGTGTGTTTTAGTTCCTAAATTTAAGTGATAAAGAACATCTTCGTCCATTGAATCCAAATGAGGGTTTTTAACATGAACAAGCCCATTTCTGAAAAAAAGTTTTGAGAAGTTTTATGGACAAGTCAGATCAAACAAAGAAGGGAATTCATGACACAAGAGACAGTATCTGAATGTTCGGTTGGTAACTTAGATTCATTGTTAGAATGTTATGCTCATGACATCAGGGCTACATGTCATAGACCCAACCACTAGGGATGGCGACAGCTTGTCCTCTTCCCAGTCAGTTTTTACTATTCTGTAGATGCCCCCTTGATGCAGCTGCAGGACTCGAGCACCTTCACACTCACTACTTTCCTCAACATTTTTTATGTAATTGCATCTCTGCTATTGGTCATGTGACTGAAACTGGCAAGTGTGAAGGGGGGTTGTACTAGAGAGCCTCTGATTTCTGCCACTGATATAAAACATGGAGCATGGGGTCTGGTACCACCACCTGTGAGGTGTAGAGTGGGGTGACTGCAGAGGAGTCCATCAGAGAGATTATTGTGTCTCACAAGCAAACCATTACCCCTGTAGGAATGGAGTGAGCTGTGTAGGCTCCTTCCCAAAATAATGCAAAGCGAGAGGAGAAGGAAGAGAATAGGATCTGCAGGGGAAGCATAAGTGCAGGGGAAGGGACAGATGGGGTAGGAGGAGAGAGTGTGGGGAGGTTTTGGGGGGGATTGGAGTGAAGAAGTAAATAAGGAATAGGGAGAGTAGGATATCACTGGTGGTGGAATTAAAGGAAAAGGGGACAGACCATACAGTGAGTGGAGAGGTGTGAGTGTCAGACAGGCAGACTACAGAGGAGAAAGAACAAGAAAGAAAACCTGAGGACACAAAAGAGGGAGGGAGGGAGGGGAGAAACAAGAGGAGAGGCAGAGTTAGAAGATCTGGAAAAATCCATTCTGTCAGAACTGAGAAAAGCTCCTCAGGAAGAACCAATGCAAACATCAGGAAATACAGGAGCAACAAGGAAAGATCTAATGGCTCAATTTAGGAAGGAAAACAAAGGGAGGATGGGAGGCAAGGCTGCCCCATTGCATTCAGCATTAAAGTGCTTGCATACTGCATCTGTTCCAAATAAATTGTTTCCTGGGTTGGTCCTTCCAGACAGCCAGCTGGATTTGGGATTCATAGCCAACTTCTTCCCCACTAACTCCACTAGCCCTTTTATTTAATTCTGAATTGGCTGCAGTGCCAGCATCTGCCTATAGTTTGCTGCCAAAGCTTTGATGCTAGGTCCCTTCATGGGTTCTAAGCAGCTGGCCAGCTCAGACTCCTGTTAGAAACTATTTCAGTAGGTGGACCCAGCATTCCCACACTTCCAGTATTACCACTGCAGTCACTGGCTGTTAATGTCTAGGGAAAGTCTTACTGTTCTATGTCTTGCCAAAGGCATGTCTCTGGAAATGTTTAATGTAATATTAACCATTTTTTGCAGCTATTACACAATCGTTAGAAACCTTAAATACTTTGTAACTGTTATCTACACAAAGTTCAGCAAAAAAGTCAATATTTTCCTCTAACCTTAGCAATGGAAAGAACCGTAACTCTTTCTTTAATACAGTTCTCCCAGAATTGGTGGATAAATAATGTACTTAAACACTGACTCTATATTATCTTACATACAGGAGTTTGCTGAAATTTTAACAAAAGTTGTGATTTTCATATTGTCCCAACATCTTGATAAATCACTGGGCAATAATCTGCATTTAAAGTAAAGTGAGATTCATAAGACAATGGGGTTTCAGTTTGCATTCCTTTTCCAATTGTATAATAAATGCAAGAGGATTAAATAGCAGTGTAGTTCAGTGTTCAAAATAAAAGCTAAAACAAAGCCTAGAAAACAGCTATCTTATCAAAACAAATTCAAAACTCACTCAATTACTTACCCAGCATAACCTTTCCTTTCAGTCATAATGGGCTTACTGGAGTCCGCTAAAAGGGATGTTATGACTTCCCCCTTTCAGAAAAACACTCCTTGGTTGACACCAGGTAAGGACCACACTCTTCTGTTGCTACAGCTGCTAATTTATAGGATCTAATATGAATATTTGAAGAAGCTTGGCAGTGAGTTAAATACCCTCTTTTCACTTAGTGTTATTCTAAGAACAACAATGGAACTTTTTCTTTTATGTTTTCTAGTCAACCAGTCAGATGCAAAATATTCCTCTTCCTGGAGATGCATTGCTATTTGTTTCAGTAGATCATCATCAGATCAGTATTCCAGGATTCAGATTGGCTATTTCTGAAGGACTGTCACTTCTCACTTTAACTCACCTCCCATTCTTATGGTAAGGCCTCAGATTGGCTATTTTTGAAGGAGTGTCATTTCTAACTTTAAGTTACCTCCCATCATTATGCTGAGGTAACCGAAGGGCCAGGGCTAGCTAACCTCCTGCTGTTGATATACTTACTCTTTGATCAGAGGCCCTGGTTCTCACACTTGGCAGTCATCCCAGCATGAGGCTCAAGTGGCACATGTACCTTCTGAAAACAAAAGGGGTGGAGAATACAAATTGTCTGCCTATTTTCATAATTCCATAAGGTTCTGTTGAAAATGCATATAAGGTACATGTGACAGCCAGAGCCAGGAGAACCTAGATGTTTTTGGATGACAAGAATTTGTGCAAACTACAGCTGGTCAGAAATGTTTGTGTGGCAAAACATTTATAAGAAATGCATCTATTTGAAGAAAGTTTGTTTGGAAAGAAAAAATTGAAGAACAGCACTTTGATAAGGTTGAAATGGAATGTTTCAATTCTTCTGTAATGGGACATTTTGATTTTCTGTTTCAAAATTACTTTTTGTTTCAATTGCTTAATTTTCTATAATATAACACAAAATAAAAGTTGAAAACAGAACAAAAGGTTTTGATCACCCCAAAATGAAACTGTTTTCAGAATTTTGTTTCATGGAAAATTTTGAATTTTTTTCTTTTGTTCGGTTTTGGAAGTGGAAAAAGAAATTCAATTCCCAGCACTCCCCGTGAAACGAAAAATCTGGTCCCTGCCATTGTCTACTGCAAAGCATTAGATCTGATTTTAACTGATGATGGCTCTCATCTCCTGAGCTTTGCTTCCATGTGCAAAACACCCCAATTTCTCAAAATTGGTTTTGAGTTGTATTATGAAACCATTATTCCATTCAGCACAATAATAAATCACTCCATGTTGTCTCAAATGGTTCGTGAACAGAGAGTAAACCTTTTGATAAATCTGCTCCGGATTTCAAATTTATAACAGAAGCCTGAAACAAAACAGAGATTTCAGACTGGACTCTGAACATTTCAAACAGCTCCCATGGCACAACTCTTTTTATATGCCTCCAAAACTCTTCCCCCATTTTTGTTTTTGTTTTGTTTTGGTCATCTAAATCATTCATAGAGATAGAAACCTATTTCGTATTATCTGGGCATTTCCTCTTTGGATTCTTGACCAGGGCTTTGGCACAACAAAAGAAGAGCTTGCTCACAGGGACTCTACCCTAGGTTTTACGCTGAGCCAGTGCATGCTGGGGAAGGACAGTGGGAGTGTTGTGTGAATACTCATGCAGTGCGGACATGTTTGATAAAGCCTAATTATGTGTCTCACTGCTTTGATTTAAGGAGCTTTGTTGCTTGGGATGCAACAGTGTTCAAGTGAGTATTTTAATATCTGGGCTGAATTTTGTTCATGCAGATGTAAAATAGAAGTCTGGTATGAAATGAGCATTTCTGGGGCAATGGGAACAAGAATTTTCTGTTATTCGGCCCTCTGGCTGTGGAACTGGCCAGATTCACCTGGTTGAATTTAGTGACTAGAAAGCATCTTTATTATTATTTATTTGTATTGTGCTAGCACCTAACAGCCCTAGTCATGGACCACATCCCCACTGTGCTAGGTGCTGTACAAACACAACAAAAAGATAGTTCCTGCTTCAAAGAGCTTACAGTCTAGGGCTGATTCTGCCACCCGTACTCAAGTTCCGTTCCTTCACTGAAATGTCTCATGGGAGTGAGTATTGCAAGACAGAGTCCCTAGGGCAGTTTGAGGCTTGGTTCCAATAAATGCCTAAAATTGCAGATCCTCATCTCATCCACATTAGAGCCAGCTGAGTGAGTCTCACAAAACCAGGCTCTGTTACAAAGTATCTACTACCGCCTGTTTCCGTAATGATATAATTCTCCCAGGAGAGGAGGAAGTGAACTGAACATCTCAAATCATTCAGAAAGGAGTAATAGGAGAAATTATTCCCAAACTATGCTGGTTTAGGAGAGATTAATCCATTGGTGCATTGAGGTTAACACAGAAACACTTTCCGTACCAATCTGCAGCTGATTTTAGCTATTTATGTTTTAAAAGATTTTCTGACAAAAATAAAAAAAATAAAAACATAATCAATAGGAATGATTGACCACTATCTATTCAAAAATTGCTTGTAATAAGTTAAATTGCAAAACACCCTGACACTTCTAGAGGACACTATAGATATTTATAGGAGAAACATCGAGCAAAGAAAGAAATGTTGACAGCACTTGAATCTATTTGAGATGGCAGTGCATTGACTTTTCCAACATGTGTACTGTCTTTTAGGAACATGAAAAAAATAAACGGAGGGTGCTAGGGCTGCTGCCTAGAACAAGCTCCTCAGAGTCTGTTGTTACATGCAACAATTTTTAAAGTGGTTTTAAGTATTGATTGGAGGGGCCCAAAGCTCCCATTTGGCATTTATATCTAGCTGTGGCAGATGAAAGTATTGGCTAATTAGATAAGTGTTAGGTAATTAATTACTCCAGTGAATTAAACTGGAGTAACTAATTAACATGTCTGATTCTGGTGCAGATTTTGTTAGCCAACACTTTTGATCTGCAGCAGTCACAGAAATAACTCAGTGTGAGAGTTATATGCCCTAGGTAACAGCTCTCCTGGTTATTATGGCAAGTGCTTGTTATCTTATTGAAAGATCCCCATAAGGCTGGGTAGAAAATCTGAGCACAGCAGCTTTTGCCTATGCCCTCCAGAGACTGATCATAGCTGTTGATCAGAGATGACTGGTAAAGCAGTAGGTGTTACCAGCGCTGCTTTTTAACTACTATAAGAATATGTGCAAGCTGCAGCCATCTCTTTCACAGGCAGATCTGCCACTCATGATAATTCCTCTGTTATACTATGGCAAGATTAACTGCAATATATTCTATGGTGGATCACCAAAAAAGCAGATCCATCACCAGCAGCTCTTACAGCACGTAGTAGCTGTACGGCTGTTGTAGGCAGTGGTGATTTTGTCTTCCTACCACTGGGTTTACTTCTGCGCTTTGACTGCGTGGCCACAACTTCAGTATTAGTTGAATATTTTACCTAACTATTAAGGTCCTCAGCTGGGCTGGGTCCCATGGTTCTTTCTGATCTTCTGCTTCATTCTGTGTTATCACTCTGGTTGTGGCCACAGGGAATAGAGCTTTTGGCCCCTGCAATTGGTACAGCCAGGAGGGCTACTATATGCCTACCTTTCTCTCCTCCCAGTGCTGTGAAATGCCCCTGCCTTTCTTTTGATCTATAATTAACCAAGACATTGGTCTCTTTTAAAATGGGTTTAAAGGGTTTTTCATGTATGTGGTGGTTTTATTCTTGTACAATAGTCAGTTAACTTGCACTTTAAAAAAAAAAATCAAAGTATTATGTAAGCATCTGGCCATTCAGATGAACCATCATTCCCTGTTAAAAATACATTATGGGTGGCATGATTTTTGCAAGTAATAAAATCTAAGCTACAGTTTCATACATCACTCACTCATTATTCCAAGGCTAGTTCTCATACACGGCTCAGATGTTTTATTTTCCTAGCTTATAAGAAGTAAAAAAACACTAAATAGCTGGAGTAATTATGGAACAGTGTGTATGAAGAGAAGTAACCTAATAACATATTAACCTAGTAGACTGAGTTCAGATCATCTATTAAGAATCCCATGGAAGCTTGAGAATATTGATCTCCAGGGCATATGCTTCATATAAAGTCTTGCCTTGGAGTGGAGAACATATGCTACTGAAGCTGCTCTAGCCTGAGGTGCACTTCCAGGATGTCGAGACAAGGCACAGTTTGGACTGAACTGGGTTGTAAGAAAGAAGATTGAAAAGACAAGGGGAAAAAGTCCTAGAGCAGAATTCTGCTCTTGGATGTGTGTTTGGTGACCTTTGACTTGACTGTCCCTTTTTCAGATGATAAGCAAAGCACATCTGTGGTGCGGCAGCTAAAACAGAAAGAGTCTACGTTCAGATCTTTGGTTTTTTAAATCCTGGTGTAATAGAGTCCTTGGTGGTTCATCTGTCAGGGTTGGGGGAACCTGACCATGCCCAGTTAGCTACATTGGGTGGTCACAATAGTGTCCCAGTTACTCACTATTTGCAGAGGGGTTCTACCCTTTGTGGGCCTCCTTAAGTCTCTCTGGCTGGGGGATCAAAATGAAAGTCACAAACTGCGATGTGTTCAGGGATACTCCCTCTCTGCAGTCAGGGCTGGCTCCAGCTTTTTTGCTGCTCCAAGCGGCGAAGAAAAAAAAAATTCTTCAGCCATTTGGCGGCTGGTCCTTCCCTCTGAGAGGGACCCGCCGCTGAATTGCCGCCGAAGACACGGACGTGCCACCCCTTTCCATTGGCCGCCCCAAGCACCTGCTTCCTGCGCTGGTGCCTGGAGCCTGCCCTGTCTGCAGTCCCAGCAAAGCATTATACAAAGGTGAGTAAGCATTATGAGCCAATATTACAGAAACTCATACGTTATGTGACTTACCTTCGGTAAGCTGGCAACACTGGGAATGGAACCAGTGATGCACTGGATGGAGCTTGTCCTAACTTCTTGTTAAAGTTCCAGTCCCCAAATGATCAAGATAGCTATATCATGGCGGGGCTTGGGAGATTTCTCATGTGATGGAGCTCTTCCCTCTCTGGATACTACTAAAATATTCCTGCCTCAGATGACTTACTTCTGCGCCTCTCAAATACTCATGAAGAGCAAGATTTTTGTCTTTGGAATGCAGCAGTTTTCACTGATGGGTATTTAAAAAACATTCCCTGAGGAGTCTATGTGCATCTCTCTCCCCCCAGTCTTAAATTGCAGAAGTCAATCAACATAATCAGTACACTTCTCAGAACAAAGCTATAAATGTTTCAGGCACTTTCCACTTAATACAGTGATTGCCATTAAAA